GAGACTGAGAATGTGACTGAAAAAATCATTTTGTGGAGAACAGTTCCACGGAGCCTTTGAACGACGCTTTCGCACTTTGGTTCTTCTCTCAAGACAGAATTGTGGGAAAGGACTTGTGCAAAGGCTTTTTTTTCCAGCCTGCCAAAGAAATCATGGCCTGTCTCATTTATAACTCCACTTAAAAAAACGAAGAGCAGAGGTTGCCACGTGCACATGACACGTGCCCTTTTCAGCTGTGCTCTGTAGAGCTCTCAGTGGCTGACTTCACAGAAGTGGATCACCAGGCGTTCCTTCCAAGGCGCTTACAGGTAGACCATCAACCACTTGATCAATAGCTGTGCTTGCCCATTTACACCATCTAGGTACGCATATTGCGTAACAAAGAACTTCATTCATCAGAATCTCCCAATGGTCTCCCATGCTTTGACTACCAAGTACCAATTCCTTAACGAATCGCTCAGTCTCCTCTACAACCTGGGCCTCCCTTACTCTCCCCCAGACCTTCTCCTGCCCTCCAGTGGGAACCCACTTCCCACCAGAACTACCACCCCCCTCCCCACCCCCCAAGGGCGGCCTCCTGTGGTCTGCAACACTTTCGATATACTGGGGCTGGGAAAAAACCTACCTTTTCACCGTCTTTTCCTTCCCAAATCCTCACTTATCTCTTCAGCCCTGCTTCCTACCATCTTCCGTCTGACATTTAATCATGTGCTGATGTGTACAGGTTATGGTTTTGTTGAGGATTCCTGACACACGTCTCAAATTTTAATATGAGAGCCTAATAAAAATCTCTGGAATACACAGAGCCACCTCAGTGAAGGGGAATCTTGCAGCACTAATAAAATTGCAGATACATGTACTCTACAACCTAGCTATCCCACTTCTGGGAATCCAGCCTAGAGCTACACCGAAACACCGTTAAAGAGACCTATGCAGATGGTAACTCTTTGCTTACAAGTTAAAACTTGGTAAACCACCCAAGTGTCTATCAACAGGAGATTCCTTAAATGAACACATTGCACCCATAGTGATGGCATCCTCAGTGCTCTCTCATCAACAGACTGGTCCTACACCAACCCCGCAATCATTGCTATGGCGGTGCCCACTGTTGGAGCTATGGGCCAATCCATCTCACTGGAAGTTCTCCTCTTGCCGCTGCCCCTTCATCCTACCCAGCCTGGTGTCCGTTCCAGGAACTGGTGTCTCCTGATACACGTGTCCACAGGACGTGACGTGAAATCTCCCCAACCTCACTCCTAAGGAGCATTCTGGCTGTTTGTTTTCCCGAGACCAATATGCTTGTTTTTCTAGTAGCCCACGGTATATTCCATATTCGTTATCGAAGTTATAATGCGTCCATATAATGGAACTGATTTGCAGATGTAAAAATGAAAAAGACGTCTAGATACGGATGTTGAAAGAGCTTGAACATCCATCAGGAAACTTACTTTATAGCAAGTCGATGTTGGTCGGCAGAGAGCTCTTCAGGTTTTCTACCCAGTCCTGGGAAAAACAAAAGGATTAAAGTCAGATGCTTCAAGCCAGGTAGATAGCTATCTTTAAAGAGTTTCCTCAAACTCATTTGAAAAAAAAAAAGTATTATTGTTTTTGTAAACCATTAAGAAATCCCTCTTTGGAAAGTAAAAGGAAATAGAGGAAAGAACTAGAAGGCAAACATTATTTATAGAGGTCTAAATACTGGCACGTACATATGTAAATATATTTATATATAACGATAGGGGAATAGAGCTATGTACATATATTTATATGTTAAGGATCAAGGTAGCAGATAGACATTGGGCCTCTACTCAAGTACTCTCTCCATGCAAGAACACTTTGTTCTAATAACCTGCCATTCCGTGATGCTCATCTTCCCGACACGATCGCAGAAGACAAAACGGGTACATAAGCAAATGTGAAGAAAGCTGATGGTGCCAGGCTATCAAAAGATATAGCATCTGGGTTCTTAAAGGCTTGAAGACAAACAAGCAGCCATCTAGCTGACAAGCAACCAAGTCTACATAGAAGAAGCACCCCAGCCTGTGTGATCATGAGGTGTCTGTGGGATCAGGTATCAGGCATCAAAGACCCGGAACAAAAAGCCCATCAATGTGAATGAGAGGGAGTGCAGAGTGAAGACCCAATGCCCGTCTGTAGACAGTTGGACATCCCTTCACAGAGGGGTCACAGGGAAGAGATGAGCCAGTCAGGGTGCACTATAGCACCGATGAAACACCCACCTTTCCTCTAGCTCTTTGGTGCTTCCTTCACCCCACTATCATGACTTCAATTCTACCTTACAAACCGGATTAGACCAGAACATGCACACTGCTATAGATAAGAGCCTGCAACACAGGGAATCCAGGATAGATAAACCCCTCAGGCCCAACAAGGAGAGTAGAGATACCAGGAGGATTAGGGGAGGGTGGGGAAAGAAAAGGGGAATCGATCACAGGATCAACGTAGAACCCCCTCTCAGAAAGACAAATTACAGAAAAGTGGGTGAGGGGTGACAGGATGATGATGTAAAATATGAAAATAATAATCTGTAACTTACTAAGCATTCATGAGGGAGGGCAGGTGGGGGAGGTAGGGGAAGAAATGGAGAGCTGATATCAGGGGCTCAAGTGGGAAGAGAATGCTTTGAAAATGACGATGGCGGCATATATGCAAATGTGCTTGACACCCTGGATGAACGTATGGATTGTTATAAGAGCTGTAAGAGCTCCCAATAAAAGTACGGAGGGAAAGAGCGAGAGCTGTACACGCCCCCAATAAAAGGATTAAAAAAAAGAAGTAGTCCCTCTTTTCCATCAGAAAATCAAAATAGCTCTGCATGAAAGGACACATAGGTAAATACTTCAAGTGCAAAGTCCTATCGCTCAGGGAGAATTCAGAGGTGGCTGCTGCATCCGCTCTAACTAACGGTGGCGAGCTTTTTGTAGTAGAATGACCTTGCCGGTCTGCTTGTTGGGCAGTTGGAGTCCATTCCGTGTCCCTGCAGGCCTCCCTCGCTTTCTTTGGCCCTCCACTCTACAAAACAAGGTGCCTTTTCAAGCAGGTTTCCACTGCCGTGGAGTCAGGGCTGACTACAGCACCCCTGTGGGTTCCTGAGACTGGAACTGTCTACGGGAGTAGAAAGCCCAGTCTTTTTCCTGCTGAGCTGCTGCGGGTTTCGAACTGCTGATCATGCAGATCACAGCCAAACCAGAAACAGTTGCAGTGGGGTCGATTCCAACCCAAGGGGACCCTGTGTGTTTCAGAGGCGAGCTTTCCGTGGGCTGAGATCTTTCCGGAGTAGGCCACCTTTCTTCCTAGGAGCTTCGGGGTGGATTTGACCCACTAGCTTCTAGGTCACTCCTCAAGAACGTAACCATTGGTGTGATCTAGGGACTCCTTTTTCAAGGTTAGCATGAAAACACAAACAAACCAACCCATTGCTCATTGCTGCAGAATCAATTCGGACTCAGAGGGACCCTGTAGGGCAGAGCCAAACGATCTGAGCTTCCAAGACTGTAATCGTTCCAGAAGCAGACAGTCGATTTTTCCGAGTGGCTGGTGGATTCAAACGGTAACCTTTTGGTTAGCAAGAAAGTGTTTTACCAGTGTATCACCAGGGTTTCCTTCAGAGATTTTTAAAATAAATGCACTGCCATTGAATTGATTCCAATCCATAGGGAACCTATACAGAGTGTCTGAGGCTTTTAAATCAGCCTCCTCTTTCTCTGTCAGACAGACTGGTGGATTTGAACCGCTGAGCTTGCAGTAGCAATCACGCATTTACCAGGCTCTCCCTATGTAATCCACACAGTGCAATATGGATCCCAGAGACACCCCTTCATCCTACTACCGTGTTTCCCCCAAAGTAAGACACCCCCTAAAATAAGACCTACTTATAGTTTTGCCTCTCCCTGAAATAAGCATCGCCCCCCAAATATAAGACCTCCCCAAACATAAAGCCTCCCTGATAATAAGGTCCCCCGAAGCTACCGTAACTCTGGACTCTGGACCATAATGGCGGGCGCTGCCACACAGCTCACTGTTGTCCGCAGCACAGCCAGGGCAGACAGGAAGTGTGAGTAAATGTACCATAGATTATGAGTAAATGTACCATAGATTGTTGTACATGGAAATAATGGTAGTAACAAGAAATTCTTGATACTGTAGGATTCACAGTTTATCTGGTTATGCTGGTTTGTGAAGACAACTACTACCGTACCGTATACAGGTAATAAATTTCCTTTTTTGTTGTTCAACAATAAATGTGTACAGTATTCTTCTTCATGGAAAAATAAGACATCCACTGAAAATATTTCAAAGAAATTAACTTCCTTTCACAACCTGGACCAGTACAAGTACTTCCCTGGTAGGTACAGACATCTGGCACAAACTGGGAACTTGGGTGAGGGGTGTAATTGGGTAGGGAGGAAGGGACTTTCCTCTTGCAAAGAAATGAGGAAGTGTAATAAGAAGGTAGGAAAACACAAGGAGTCATTGGAGTAGTAGTATTGTAATTTAACATCTATCCATGGCAGAAAATGCCATGTCACTCACTGCCTCATAATGACCCTGCAGGAGGGGGTAGAACTGCCCCGTGGGTTTCAGAGACTGTGACTCCTCAGGAGTAGACAGCCTCATCTGTTTCCCTAGGAGCGGCTCGTGGACTCGAACTGCCGACCTTTCAGTTAGCAGCCCAACATATAATCCACCGTACCACTTATATTTGTGCTTCAGATAAAATCCATAAATTCAGTTACAGCCAATGAAGCGGAAAGGTTATAAGTGGTACAAGAAAATAAATAATTAAAAAAAATTTTAATCATCTAAAAAAAAACATGGGCCAGTGGAGTGGGCCTTCAAAATGTTTGAGGAAAATTTCGATAATCTTTTCGTTCCATGTTTCCACAAACTGTTTGAAGACCCCCCCTTGTAGAAGAAACGCAAGTTGACCCTGGAGATCTATGTTCAGATCAGTCTGATGATAGACACCAACCCCAAAGACACGTCACAGGAACCCCTGAGGGAAGTGGAGTGTTTCTGGAATCCACTTGTTCTTCACACAAGGGGTGGGGGCTTGGGAAGGCAAGCAAATGGACATCTTGCTGATTGTAAAGATACTTCCATGAACTATATAGCACATCGACAAAATGAAACAAAAAAAAAACCTAGAAATGCGGTAAGAAAAAAAAAATCACACGTTTTATTTTGGGAATGATCTCACCAAACAGTACAACTCTGGCAAATCCCGGAAATTAAACATATGTTAGCAACTAAGTTTGTTGCCAATGTTAGTCTATGACTCTCCGGCAAATGAATTTCCAAGTCCAGACACGGTGACTAATTTGTTCTAGTGTGCTCACGACTTTCCCTATTTGAAAGTACCATATTCTATGAAACCTCTCTGTCTGGGCAAACTGGGCCAGGTGGCCATCTGAGGAAGGCCCTACCACTGATATAAAATTACCCAGTTCTCTGGAGAACTGGTGCTACACAATCAAACTGAAATTAAATCAGTTCTCAAGCATTAAGTCCAAGCAAGAACACGAGTTGGCAGAGTTTGTAAATCTTCTCAACGTGTGCACGCATAAAGAAACTGCAGGGGGCAAAGCATTTATGGGGCAGTACAAATCCATAGAATATACTTTTACTAATTGTACTTGGCATCCTTAAGCTTCTATTGAAATATTCCGCCTAGCTGAAAATGTTCTCTCTCTTTTCCTGGGACCCAATTTCCCCCAAGGATTCAAACCAGTTCTCCCCAGTTCAGTCAGGCCCAAGTGAAACCAGAATAGACTCAACATGGTCCAAGGTGGGTGAACTGGAACGCTAACAGGAAAGGAAAGATGACAGGTGCTAGAGGCTAAATCTCCCCCGTAGAAAACAAGGGCAGTGTGTGCAATGCATAGCAACCAAATGCTTTGACCAACACAGTTGGAGACAACTGTGCCCTACTCAAAGTTGGTGGCCAACTGCAGCAGTATGGATGTGTGTCCCTCCGCAAAGTCTGGACAATGATCCAATCTTCCATGTCAGGTTCCTAGAAAGGCCCCCTCGGCCTCTTCCAAATATCCCATTGCAGGGCTTCAACCTATAATTTTACTTGTTTCCATTGACATTCCACTTCTTCCAAATGTTAACAGTTCAAGGCTTTTCCAATTTCACATCTGGCCTGAAGCATGGGTTTTAATAACGTCAATCCCACGAATAGAAAGTCCATTGTTCTCAAAGCAAACATTTCAGCAAATTTGGATTAGGTATGCAGCAGTGCACTACTGAAAACGCTAGAAGAGTAAAAGGCTGTGTTATTACTGCAAAAAGCAAAACTGCCAACACAATGGAAAGATCAATGGTTGCTAATGTAGGTCTAGAAGATTTAGTAGACAGAACACAGGACAATTTGAGGACAAGTAACTATTCGACATGAGTCTTGTATCGGTGGACACCGGACATCATGGACTTGCCACAACCCATAGGACGGATCGACATACAGAGCGAACGCAGCAATCACTCTTCCTCGGTACCACAGAGTCGATTCCAACTCACACTGACGCCCAGGAAGGTCAAGGTGGAACTGTTCCCATAGGGTTTTCAATGGCTGACCTTTCAGAAGTAGTTCTCTAGGTCTTTCTTCTGAGCTGGACCGGAACCATCAACCTTTCAGGGCGCAGCCAAGTGCACTAACCATTGACACCACCCAAAAGGTCCCTAAATGGAAACTATGGAGTTCATTAATAAAGTCAGTATGGGCTCATCATTTAAAAACAAATCTAAATGATAATTATAGAGCTGTAGAGGATGGCTTTTCTAGCAATAGCTTGAAACTCCCACCAAATAAGGAGAAGGGAGCGTGCAAATAGGGCATACAGAATGCTAACATGTAGACAGGTCAATCTCGCCAGACACAACTTTAATATGACTTTATTGGCCGGCAGTCAAGGGGCGGTTAGAGCCTAATTCACCCTCAAGCCTGAATGCTTAAAGAGGGGAGTTTTTATATTGCAGAATAAGCAAGGCACAAGAACAGGTGGTGTCGTGATATATGGAAAAATGAGAACTTATAAGAGTAAAACAGGGGTTAGCAAGCAACATCGGCAATTTCAAAAATAAGTGCCAACAGGTCAGCAACTACAGACAACAGCAGTTACAGAAGGAATCGCAGTAGTTGCAAAGCGGCCACATTTGGGTCAATAAAAGCGACTACACTCAGGCTAATTCACACAGTCTGGTTTACATTGTTAAAATGGACACATCTAAGTTAACTACTACATTATGGTTACATTTGGGGTTAACACCTCGGGGTTCAAAATGAGCCATCTCAGAAGCAGGAGTGGGGGATCTCACGGCCATCAGAAAAGAAGCACCGCAAATACAGGATACTGAGATTCCTGTGCACTAAACCCCCTTGATCCAGGAGACAGAACTGTGACCCCAGAGATAGCCAGACCATAGAGAAGTGGTAGAGAAGTAGGGGCAGAAGCGGTGGCAGCCGAGCGCAGAGCAAGAGGCCTTCCCTTGTCTGCAGGGTGCCTGCCATGCCAACCAACACCGACTGAGTAGTGCGCCCTTTGGCATTTATCCCCAGTGCTAAAGGAGCTTCATAGCATTGTCTAAGCAGGACAGCAGTCAAGGCACTGGGGGACTAAGAGACTATGGATCTGAGAGAGACATAGTTGTGGGCACCGAGAAAAGGCACTCCTGAACAGGGAATGGCTGTATATTGAGCATTTCTGATCCTGAATTGTAATCTGTTAACTTCCTTCATCAGTCTGATCATCATAAATCCAAATCTGAGCTCTGCGTGGCCATTGCCAAGGACGACGGAAACCAGCAGCAAAGAAGAGTGCCCCGTGAGAAGCAGTGGGTGTCAGAAGAAAGTAAAGAAGGCTGTAGGGTCGAGGCATGTCTGACCTTGACCTCCCAGGAGGTGGCTTTGGGCTGATGTCACGCTTGATCCCTGTTTGCCTTGTGTTGTCCGAGGGAGTCAGACATTGTCCCTATGCTGTGATTGTATCATCCTAATCCCCCCCCCACCCCCACCCCCATAAGCATAGGAATAAAAGAGCACTGGAAATCGAACCAGATAAAAGCACGAGGTGCCAGCACTTGGGTGGAATTTAGCCCGCGCACACAGCCTGCGACCCAGCGCTCTGCGGGGCAGGCTCGCGCTTGGAAGCAGAAGGGGCAGCGCTGCCTCACCGTCGTGAATCTGGAAGGCCAAGGTGGTGATCTTCTGCGTGAGGATCATCAGAGGGCTAGAAGGAAGACAGAAAGCAATCAGTGTTGGCAAAACAAGAATCAGCACAGGATTGAAGATGCTTGTCTTCCAGGTCTCTGGAGGGTGGTTGTCCATCGCTCCTAGGACGCTGAAACATGCTAAGACATGACATCCCAAATAAGAAGCGGGGACTCCCTTTCCGAATCACTTCACACAAGCAGTTGTGACAAGGTGACATACAGCAAAGGGGCAGCAGGAAATCACTCTTCAGCTTTGCTGCTCCAAGTGCGCTCAGGGAGCTCGTGAGACACGCAGCCTCGCAGACCCAGTAAACCAGAACAGGTGTTTCCAGGGAGATCTCTAAGGAAGTGGAAGGTCCACGAAGGACTGGTCTGAAGGGCACCTGACCCACCGCCCTGCTCCACTTGAGTGGACACCCATCTTGGCTCTTTGCCCTTACCTGCATTTTTTGTTCCATTGGAAACAATTCTTTCAAGCACGTGTTTGTGAGACACATTTGGAAAATGCAGCTAGCTATCAGCCAGCCAGGTGGTGGTGAAAAATTACATTAGCCTTAACGTCAAAAGGCCATCAACTAAAGACTTGCCTTCGAAATGGACCCTAACGTCAACAAGGATGTCACGACAATTCAGCGGGGCAGCCCCAGCCATGTCATTCAGCGGTGCTGCGGCAGACAAATGGACAGTCACAGGAAGAGAATGCAAAAATAACTAGGCATGGGTCAGTGACCCATGGGTAAGAGCCCAAACTCCAGGCCTCTTAGAAGAAAGCATCGATATCAAGCTTCGTGACTTTGAAGAAGGCACAGGGCTTTCTCAGCCAGGATGCCAACAGCACCATCAACAAAAGAAAGAGAAATGGAAAAGATGGGTCTCAGCAAAACGAAAAGTTTCCATTCTCTGAAAGACGCATCCCACGAGGAAGGTAAAGAGGAGGATTACAAAACGGGAAGGCAAAGCATGTGTCTGATCAGGGACGGACTGGTACCAAAAGATACGAAGAATGCCTACCACTCGAAAATCAAAAAAGGAAACCCATTAAAAATAGCCAACGGCCTTGAAGGGACACTTTCCCCCAAAGGTAGACCAATGGTCCATACGCACAGGAAAGGCGCTCAAAGTCGCTTGCCATCAGGTGACTCCACACAAAAACCAGAATGAAAGAGCGATTTCCCACCCGCTACAATGGCTACAGAGTCCTGGTGGGATGGCGGTTCAAGTTGGGCTGCTCCCACAAGGTCGGCTGTTCAAAACCACCAGCCACGAAAGAGGAGGCTTTTTACTCCTACAAAGAGTCAGAGTCTTGGACACCGCCAGGCGCACTTCCACCCTGCCCTCTAGAGTCACTTCGAACCAGCATCGGCTCGCGAGCAGTGAGCTTGGGTGGGAGAGAATGGCTTCACTAAGAAAGGAAGAGAACAAGAGTAGGCAAGGGTGTAGAGAAACTGGGACCCTCGCAACCCTGGTGAGAGGGTAGAATGGTGCAGCTGCTGGGGAAAGTCTCGCTGATCTCAAAATGTCCAACCTGGAGGTACCTAGCCCCTGTCCCAGCAATTCCAGTCTCACATATACACTGCGAAAGTCTGCATGCACTCTCGTTCTTTACTGCTTCCTCCCTCGCCACCCCCCACCACGATCATGACTCCAACTCTACCCTACAAACCCAGCTAGACCAGAGCATGTACACAGGTACAGAGAAGAGATGGAAACACAGGGAATCCAGGACAGATAAACCACTCAGGACCAATATTGAGAGTAGCCATACCAGGAGGGGAAGGGGAAGGTGGGGGGAGAAAGGGGGAACCCATCCCAATGATACACATATAACCCCCTCCCAGGGGGACAAACAACAGAAAAGTGGGTGAAGGGAGGCTTCGATCAGTGTAAGACATGAAAAAATAATGATAATTTATAAATTATCAAGCATTCGGGAGGGAGGGAGGGTGGGGGAGGAGGGGGAAAAATGAGGAGCTGATACCAAGGGCTCAAATAGAAAGAAAATGTTTTGAGAATGATGATGGCAACAGATGTACAAATGTGCTTGACACGATGGGTGGATGGATGGATTGTGATAAGAGCTATATGAGCCCCCAATAAAATGATTTTTTTGTAAAGTCTGGATGCACATGTGCTGATCCCTGTGAACTTTGTCTCTGACCTCTCTGTACTACGGAGTTATTTCTAGAAAGGCTGAAGTTTGCCATCGTTGTTTTTCATTTTACAGATGTAAAATTAAAATTCATATTTCTTTCAGGTATTACGAGTGGGGAGGCTCTCCAGCTCCTCAGCTTCCTGGTCAGGTTTTGAATGATGGAAACATGACTGTTTCCAGGAGGCTCACTTAAAAAAAAAATTATAGATAATGAGGGGGCTTCAAAGAGTTTGTGGACAAACCCTCTCATGTGTATATATATGTGTGTTGTATTTTTTTGCAATCAGTTAAATATCTTCATTCATATCTTTTTTCCCAACAGTTTTATCGGCAAGCAATTTACATATAATATAAGTCAATCGTTCAATCATTCAATCATGTCTTGGGGAATTGTAAAATTGCCCCCACATAAATGATAGAGCATTCCCCCTCCTGCAGGCTGAACTTTTAATTCATGTTGTAGGCAGTGTCCCTCAGATGGCCCTGGGATGCCTCCGAGGCCCTGTCCTCTCTGCTCAGACCAGGCTCGGGTGCCTGGGAAGCTAGGATTGAATACAAATGAGTCTAGGCGAAGTTTGATCTGTGTCATGGTCTTCAATCCCATTTTCCAAGTCCTTAAAATATTACATGCAGAATATTTCAAGCTATTAACAAATAAAACCATTAGAAAGAAATTACCAACAAATACCCATTGTAATTTTAACATCTATGCCCAGTTCTTATTTAGGAAGCCCAAAGGCACAATGGTTAAGGGCTCGTTTGCTAGTCTACATGTTTGGAAGGTGGAACAAACCAATGGCCAGAAATCCATTTTCCCTACGAATTTCCCCACTATGTCCCTTACAGGTCTATGAGGGTAGGCCAAAAAGGGCTGCTAGGAAACCACAGAAACCTTCATTAAAGATATCAAGACGTGCAAGTATTGTTTCTCAGCCTCCACCTGCGTCTATCCACTTCTGAAGGCAATGTTCCCATTTCGCCAACTCTTCCTCCCGAGAACCCCGCACGCTTCACGTTACGTCCCAGCAAAACAGCAGTTTGGGTATTCTTGAAGGGCTTAAAGATTTTGTATTCTGTCCTCTTTGTATTTGAGGAATAAAAAGAATCTAAATGGCCAAGATCAGGCTTATAGAACAGCAAATCCTTGGAGGACAGCCCTTACCACCCTGGGAGAATAAGCAAGTACGTTGTCCAGATTGGGGGGGGAAAGTTTACTGGCCTTTAGATTAATAGTGTAGTTTTCCATTTTCAGAAAACTTCATTATGTGATCATCCTTCATCCTTCCAGAAAACTTATCAAAGTTGCCCTTTCAGGATTCAAAAAAACCCCAAAAACGTTCCGAGGTGACCCCTCTGCCTTGAATGTAACTGGCATAATAGAGTCCCTTCGAAAGCACTGTTTTGATTGAAGCTTTTCCTGGAAGGCACCCTAATGAGACCAGGACGAGTGTTTTACTGAGAGAGCTTGTCTGCAGCCACCCACTGATCAGAGGCACGTTTAAGTAGGTTTGACTCAGGATAAAGCAGGGCGTGCATACACCGGGACCCTAATAACAATACTCTTTGAGCTGTAGTGGCCTACTGGGCTATGCGTTGGGCTGTTAACCGCAAGTTTAGTAGTTTGAAACCAACAGCAACTCCTCAGGAAATAAAGGGCTTCCTGCATTTGTAAAGCTTTAGAGTCTCAGAAACCCACAGGGGCAGTGCTACCGTGTCCTTCCTCTAGGGCCACTGTGACTCAGAATGGACTCGAGGGTAGTGAGGTTCGGTTTGGTTTTTAATCTGCTTCTCAGAGGACCCAGATGAATAAAATATGCAACATTAGCTATGTCAATATCATCAAGTATGAATGAATATGTTAATAAAAGCATTATTATTTAATGTTAATATTGTTTGGTCTATGGGGAACATACTATTGTCCTTCAAATCAAACGCATTGCCTTCCAGGGGATTTCAATGCATAGCAAGAGAGAGAGAGAGAAAGTACAGAACCGCCCCATAGGATCTCCTCTCCTGAGACCTTTATGGGAATAGATCACGTGGTCTTTTTCCCGGTTGAGCGGCTGGTGAGTTTGAACTGCTAACCTTTGAGTTAGCAGCCAACCACTTCCACACTGCACAGGCAGAGCTCTTTTAGAACACTTATAAAATATAGCTCAAGATCAAATGTTGTTACACATTACGTACACATATTTTCAACAACAGATTACACAAGTTATTGAGCTTCGAAAGTTAAACCCTTAGAGCTACTGACTTTAGAGATAAAACATAAATACCATCCTTTTAGTATTTCCATCAAAACACAAAATAATTCAAGACACAGGAGCTGCTTGCAATTACAGACCATGCTTCCTTTTTGTGAAAACAAACAAACAAACAAACAAACCCCAGCATACACAGGCACACACCACCACCACAAGAGAGACAAAAAAGGAGATTCATACATGGCTCCCTGATATAGCCAAAGAACTTCCTCGGGACAATGAGGCCATAGAACTTGAGCTGTACTCAGATTTTCCACCCCAGACCCGTGCGATGTCCTTGGATTTGTCCACACTGGTCAGGAACCGTCGAAACAATCAGAAACGGAGGTTTGAATCTATCATGGTTGAAGATATGTTTTGTCCTATGAATGGTTTTCATGATGAAGAAAAAGACAGAGGAGCATGCAGGAGCAAACGAGGAGGGAGGGAGAGAGAGTGGAACACATCCTGGCCCACCAAGTCCTGAGGACGATATTCCTGTTCAGAGCAGCCAATGCACAGAGAGGACCATAGGGCCAGCCCCACCACAAGACAAGACATCCCTCACTGACCCATAGCGCTACAGGGGACAACACTGGAGACACAGTGCGGGAATTGTGCC